GTAGCCGGCCGGACCTGGGGCGCGAATCACGATCGTCAGGACCAGCGTCTGACCTTTCTGGTCCTCGAGTCAAGGAGCTCTGTCTGTCTTCCTACCAGAGGGAGGTGGCTACGACGTCGGACGAGGCGACAAAAGAGCGCGCCAGTGACCAATGTTCCAAGACGGAATTGGCATGGAATCGGCACCGATGGCCAGCTAGAGACACACTGTGGTACCTGCATGACTCGGCCGGATTTGAAAGTCACGGCGTCAGTCCGTCTGTTGTTTCCATTGCAGGGGCCGGGTTGAGTCGGGTTGGCTGGCCCCAGCTGGATCGCTTTGTGAAAGCGAGTCTGTGCCTTGTCTCCGAGGAAACACACCGGTGCCCGGGAGGGTACGGCACTGACAGGAACCAGGCTGGTGCAGGGTGGTCGGCCGGGGACGATCGCCATGTCCCAGTGCGAGCAAATGAGCATGGCACAAAACGGCCAGAAATCCGCGCAAGAAACCGGGGCAGGACTAATCACGGCGCGGCCGACAGGGTTGTTTCGATGGGCATCGTGCGGGAGAGTGAGCGGTGGGTGCGGCTTGGGGGGTGGTGGGCGATTCTGGAGAGGATCGGGCTATTCGGCAGGTGCAGTGGCAGTCAGCACGTTGTACCAGGCCAGAGCTGTCGGGACCAGGGCAGCTTGGGGTAATTCGCGCAGTCGGAGGTACAAAAGCTGTGTGTGTGTGTGTGTGTATGTGTGCATGTCGGATGTGCTCAAAGTATTAATGGATGGATGCGCGGATAGATGGATGGATGGAATAATGCAATGGCGAATGGACGGGGGGTGGGCTTGTCGAGGATGGAGATGGAGATGGAGATGGAATGGGTCGGCTGTAATGAGTGACACTGCAAAACAACGCAGTGAGGTAAACAGGGCGATAGTGGTGACACTGGCATCAGGTAAGATGGACTGGCGAAGCACCGACCTTCCATGCCTGCGAGCCAATCGACGTCCCTGCATGTCATCCAAGCCGCTGCGGGTTTGCCCAGTGCCCTCCCCACACTGAAGTATCGGGTACCTTGCCGCGCTGGGGCCTTTAGACTTGTTTGACCGGGAAGGTACAGGGGCCGGTGGTCGACAGGCGCGACCGACGGGCAAAGCAGGCACGGTATAGGCGCAGACTGGGCGGGCAGGAGAGTGCGGGAGAAAGAAAAAAAAAAGACCCTCAGGGAGAAAGCCCAGGACGCACTGCCCAGACCTCGCTGTCGCACCTGCCGCCTTGCCGGCTAGCTGGACAAGCTTTTCGCAGGCCCCATACTGTTCTTGGCTTAGCTTTCGAGCTCTTCTCCGAGAGACCCCATTCTGCGCCCCCAATGAGCCCCCCCCGTCCAGTGGGTGCGGGCGGGCATTCGCACTGGAAAGCGAGATCCAATGTACCAAGTAATACCAACGACCTGAGTAGATAACCTGGCTACCTAGGTAGGTAGGTAGGTAGGTAGGTACGGTACCTTACTTACCTACAGTGGGTGTGCACGGCAACAGACAAGCGCGACAGGCAGGACGGCACACCCCATTCTCGGTGGTCTGAAATACCTCGTGGTCACCCGTCCGCTTTCGACCGCTGATAATCCTGCTTGCTCCCTCCCCTTCTTCTTCCTTTTCCCTTTCTTCCTCCTTCAGCTCCCAATTCCCTCCCGGCAGCATCTTCACTCTCCGTTCACGTTAGTATTTCCCCTCCCCTCAACTTGGTGCATCAGCGTCTTGTGCCAATCGTTTTTTTTGGTGCTATTCCACGCTGCATCATCCCTGCGTTGTTGGCGCTTGGCTAATCGTCTTGTTGCAGAAACCCCAGCTTTCGACTCTTGTCGTCGTTGTCGCACGAGCACCATCTACCCAAGGTAAATTGATCCTCAATCCCCTTGTTTTCGAAGTTCCTTTGCTGCATCGCATTCGCTACACCCCAATTGTGGCCAATTGGTCGCTCTCTGCATCGAGGGAAGCTCTGGGCTACAACAGACGCCAAGTTTTCTGCTATCCGACGGTCTCGTCTCGCGCGATGGGCTTGGCGGGCGCCGTCTGCAGCTCCAGGCCCCGGGCCATTCAATACGGACACCAACTGGTGGTCCGGCACCAGCCCCAGGCCTGGAAGCTCGGAGACCCGTGTTTTCGCGCTCTCTGTTGTTTAAAAGCCTCACACAGCAACCATTGCTTTCGCCTTTTCCCACCCTTCGTCTCTTATTCAATCAGGCCGATTCAGCGTTCTGAGTCTTTGTCGTGCCTTGGCGCATTCTTTGACCCGGGCCTTCTCGCTAACGAATCCCTCTCAGTTCATCTCATCTCCACTCCCCCACCACCGCCAACATGCCTGCCGTCAACACCCTCGTCGCTCGCGACGCCCTCAACCAGCTCGCCAAGCGCAACTGGCCCAAGCAGGAGCCCGGTCTGATGGCCGTCTTCGTCATTTGCGGCCTCGTCGCCATTGTCCTCATCGGCATCTACTTCTTCAAGTGGAACAACAAGAGGAAAGCCAGGGCCCAGACCCAGCAGATCTAGAGAACTAGCGCCGGGGACGCACCCCAGGCAGCGGCCGGGGCCTACGCCTTACCGCTTCGACGGGAATCAACAATTCTCGACAACCAAGCCAACGCTGATGGACAATTGATTTCGGACGGGATTTCTTGCTCACGAGGGTCATGAGGCGTTGGAAAGGCGGCGGGGGTCTCTTTCGGACGCGTCACCGCACTTGACCGTCGTGCATGATCCGCCATCTTGGGCAACCCTGAGCGGGGCGTGTGCACTCGTTGGCAGCGGTCGTTGGGCCTTGGGTCGAAGTGTAGACGGAGGGCGTTGGGGGGAGCCATGTCACACCATTACTTTTGTACAAACGCGCGCATCCATCCATCCAGTACTATCTGGTCTGGACATCTTTCGCGGAGCAGCGTTCCGTCTCGGTGCTTTGCGTCGGTAGCCAGATCAACTCTTAATGACACGATACCACTTAAAGCTACATTTGTTGTACCATAATCCATTGGCTCAATTGACGTGAAAAGAAACAAAATCTGACCCTACAATGACACACTGTCGCCAGACTCCAGATTCATGTCCACTCATGAGCCGCGACACCTTTCTCCGATATTGAATACATAATACACGGCTCCCTCGTCCGTGACCTATATGACGAAGCTTCTCGGTTTTCAGCCGTAAGACAAAACAGACAATCCCGTGCTCAACAAGCTGCACTCACCCCGAAAAGGCGCCGCCTGCCTCAAAGTACATCGTATCTCAGCACACAGGGTCTCGCAGCAAGCAGGACCTCCAGTCATCGACATGGTCCCCCCCCCCCCCTCCCCCTCAAACGAGGCCCCACGCGATCAACAACGGCATGGCAACATAGAGAAACACCATGGCCACAACAGCAGGCACGACGGGAGGCGTGTGCTCAGCGGCGCAGCCGATCAAGGCGATGACGAAACCGAGGGGCCGCACGACGAGAAGGCGCGGCAGCGCCGCGGGCCAGCGTAGCAGCACCAGCCAGCGGCGGCGGTGGTCGTCGTCGTGTTCGCTGCGGCCCACGTCGGCCGCGAGCTGGCTCTCGAGGCGGGCGTTGATGTCGTGCGGGCTGATGAGGCGGTTGACGGAGGCGGAGAAGGAGCTGGCGCGCGAGCGGCCCTCTGGGTCGGTGGCGACGCCGAGACGGGATCCGCCGGGGGACGGCGAGGGGGGGATCTCGCAGGTGCGGCCTTTGGCGCGGTTGTAGGCTTTTTGGTGTTTCGTGTTAGTGTGACGTGCGGCGCTCTCTCATCTCATGATTCCTTCGGGGGGCAGAGGGTGGGGTGTGCATGTGGAAGGGTGAAGGGTGTGTGACAGGGGTGTGGAAGCAGCAGGAGCGAACAGCATGAGGAAGCGGCAGGAGAAGGCACAGCAACTGAAGATTGAGTACCAACGTCATTGCGTCATTCCGTGATGTTCTGGATGGATGTCTTTGATGTCTTGCTGGATCAGGGTGGGAATCTGTTTCCTTACGCATTCTGCCTGTTGTTTTGGGGCGTGCACGCGCCGTGCCAGGGTAACAGGATCCTCAGCTACAGATACAGTTCGTAGGTAGGGTAGCTACAGGTAAGTCCTGGTCCGACGTCCACAGGGGAACCCTCAAGGCGGCAGCATCGGCGGTGCGTCGTCTTGGGTTGTCAGTGACGGGCTCGATGCGCTCCCTTCGTCAGGGGGTGCGAGGCACACGTCTTGAGCTCGCAGATGGCGGTGCGACGAGACAAGTGATGTGGTGAGCTGGCAGGCAGGTTGATGAGAGGGAGGGAGAGGTCGGAATGCGGTTGACCCAGTCTGAGCTGCCAAGTCGGGCGGGCCAAAGTCTGCCAGTTCAGTCCCTTGGCTTTCGTTGTCAATAGGAGAAGAGCCAGGAGCCAGGACCGGGAGTGGGAACAAGTGCTGTTTTCAGTTTCCCTAAGGCTTCCGGGGGCGCTGCCGTCTTGCGACGAGCACAAGCCCATTCATCTCACTGATGCCGGGTGGGGGACACGACAGACGGGACATGGTCAACTGGCTCGTTGCTGCGCCTTGCACATTTGCCTCCAATGCGTTGGAAGCATCAAATTAAAGTTCTGGTGTTCGAGACAGGTGCATCACCAGGCCTGCCAAGCACAGCCCTGTCGAGAAGCGCTGCTGGCTGGGGACCTCTACCTACCTAGCGGGGAACAGCCTGTCTGCCCACCCTAGGTAGATACCTACCTACCTATCACGAGCTTGTTCCCCCTTTGTCGTGGCCCATGGGCAGCCTGGGGGCCCAATTCACGCCGACAGACAACCCACCGTCTGCTCCAGTCCATCGCGGCATGAGGGACCGACACAACACCTCCGAATCCGCGCAGGCCGGAGTTCCGTCCTATCATTCGGCTGACTGTGCCGTGGAACAGCTACGTCAGGCCCCAACTGGGTGAACCACATAAAAAAAGAAGGACGCGGGCTTTTCGCAGCAACAATGTCGACCTGAGAAAACAGCAAATACATCCATACATCATGGCGACCATGTCCTTCTTCGAACAGCTGCAACGCGTTCACCGCCACAATGTCACGACGCTGCGCCAATCCCCAGTGGCCGAGATCTCAGGCGCCTTGGGAGATCTCGGCACCCTGCTGCCCTTGATGATCGCGCTCGCCATCCAGGAGGACATTTGCCTGGACAGCACCCTGGTCTTCTCGGGACTCTTTAACGTGGCCACTGGTGTCATATTCGGCATCCCGCTCCCTGTTCAACCTATGAAGGTGCCTTGCCCTCCCATCATGGAAATTCTGACTCATTGACTATTGAAATTAACCACGTGCTCCGCCTCCAGGCCATCGCCGCTGCAGCCATTGCCCGACCGAACACCGGTTTTGAGGATGTGATCTATGCAGGGCAATGGGTTGGCCTCGCCGTTCTCTTGATGAGCTTGACCGGCTTCCTCCAGCGATTCAGCGCCGCGGTGCCCATACCCATAGTCAAGGGCATTCAGTTGGGCGCCGGTCTCTCTCTTGTCATGGCAGCTGGCTCCAAAATTGCGGGTTCCCATGACAGAACCCCTCTTCTGGATTATGCCGCCTTCGTGGCGCTCGTCGCTACACAGACTATGCCGCGATTTCCATACGCCCTGTGTATGTTCGTGCTGTGCGTCGCAATGGCCCTGGCTTCGGTCGTCCATTCGGGGGGCTGGGCAGCTTTGCCAGGTCTGCGACTCTGGGAACCTCGTTACGTTCTCGGGTTTTATGATCCTACCAGGTCAACAGAGGCCATGGCCATGGCCCTCGGCCAACTGCCCTTGACCACCCTCAACTCGGTTATTGCCGTCAGCGCTCTCGCGACCGATCTGCTGCCGAATATGCCTACACCTTCCGTCACGTCCATGGGCATAAGCGTGGGTCTCATGAATCTGACGGGCAGCTGGTTTGGGGCCATGCCTGTCTGTCACGGCGCTGGTGGACTAGCAGCTCAATACAGATTCGGGGCCCGCAGCGGTGCCAGCGTCGTCATGCTAGGTCTGTTCAAGCTGTTACTCGGACTCTTCTTCGGCCGCAGTCTCATCAACCTGCTGGCTGAGTACCCTCAGAGTCTTCTTGGCATCATGGTCATCGCAGCTGGGCTGGAGCTTGTCAAGGTCGGGTATTCGCTCAATCATGGGGCGCCGGATCTCTGGGAGAACTCGATACAGCAATCTCAAGAAGGACCGACTGTGGTGAGAAGGCATCGCGACATCACAGATGAGGAGAGAACGGAGAGATGGACAGTCATGATGATGACTACAGCGGGCATAATAGCGTTTCGCAATGATGCCATTGGTTTTGTAATGGGTCTCGTATGCCACATGGCGTATCGGGTGGCGGAAAGGCTACCGCGATGGTATCATGCCAGGCGATCCAGTCTCTTCTCTGGTGCAGGAGAGCATACCCCTTTGCTCAGATAAAAATATAGTCTCTGGTTGCAGGGTCGTCCGTCACGCTGGGGTTCCAAGGTGCTAAGGAGGAAGTCCAAGAAGAAAAAAACTGGTCGAAGTGCTAGTTGGGCTCTTTTTCCCTAGACCCATTTCTCTGACAAGCATTCCGTTGTCTGTGATGCAGTGCCAATTTTTTTCTTTGGGAGAGACGTAGACGGGGAAGGCTGAGGACAGGAAGTACCTACAACAGTGCCAGATCAATCAAAGCGGGCAAGCGCATCCAAGTGTCAGCGCTGCAGGAGCCTCGGCACAACCCGCACCTTACCCTGGAGGAAGCAATGGGCTGCTACGGCGTCAATGTCTGAGGTGCCTGTCTCGTGCTGGCTCCTTACACCTTCCACACCGAAGGTACCCCTTGATCGAGATAGATAGGCGGGCAGGTGAGGCAAGTCTCGCTGGCGAGGAAAGAGGTACCCAACCAAGGGTGTTGACCAGTCGCGCGGGGAAAGAGGAGCCCATCGGTGAGGGAAAGCGCTATCTGACCAATCACAAGGCGCGCCGACCCCATCGACCCTGTCGTCCTCTAAGGTGAGCCCATCACAAGGCAGAGACCAAAGGGCGACTGGCTCTGGCGCCCAATTTTTTTGGGAACCTTCCCTTCCGCATCGTATCCCGGCCGAGCGCATCACGACGCAGTCCCGTCGCATCTGACCAAACGCCCTTGTTGGCTCGCAGAAGACGAAGGAGCTGGTCTGTTGCCGTCCGCGCAGAGCAGCGATGACTTCGTCCCAAGCCGGCCAAAGCGGCCAGGCGCCCGAGCTACCGATGCCCATCCCGACGACACCACCGCCAAAGTCCAAGCCCGTCACGCCAATGCCTGCGACTGCTGCGCCAGCGACACCCACCGCCGCCGCGACGACAACGACTACTCCACCACCGCCTCTACCGAGCGATCAACCGTCGGCAACCGTACCCGCTGGTTCATTCGCGGCGTCCGACATGGCTTCTGTCGACGTCTCGGTGCCCACGGCTGGCCATCCCATGGACAGCCTTGTCGAGGGGGTCACCTCCGAATCCCTCGACACCGATATGCCTGATGCCCAGCCATCACTGGACCAGCAACAGACGCAACAACAGAACAGCCAAGGCCTCCAGAACAATCGCCATCGATCACAATCTCACACCCGTTCCTCCAACCTCAGCCCCTTCGATGTCCCCTTCCCGCGCACGCCCATCTCCGCCCTTGATGCCAACGCGTACATGGCCATGGCCCTCGCGCAAATGGCCGGCGATTCAATGATGCAGCATCAGATGGCCCAGCCACCCTCGACAGTCACCCCGGCTCAGGTCACACTCCCCAGCAATCTCACCAACGGCGCCGACGGCGTGACCGCCAGGGCTAGTAACCTGCCGGATGCCGGCGAAGGCCTCGAATCCTTCGCACGAATAGAATTCGCCGACAGTGTCTTCCAGATGACGACTTACGCCGTCATAATCGGACGCGACCAACGTGCCCTCGAGCAAGCCAGGAGAGATGAGCGGCGCGCCGAAGAACACAGGCGGAGGGCGGCGGAGAACGAACGGCTAGGCCTGCCTCCACCATCACCCGTAAGGCATGACAGAGGCAAATTCAGCAAATCCTACGTCAGTGAGGAAGGTGGTATGCTGGGACCTGAGTCCGATAGTGACGAGACTGGTCGGCCCAAGAAACGACGAAAGACCAGCACCAATGACGAGCCGGAGCACCAAGAGGCGGATCAATCGCAGGAGAACTTGATTTCAAATCGCCAGTACATCTCGCATACTCCTGGTGCTGCTGCTGTCGACCTTGCATCATTACGACCGTCTCCCTACCACGTGCCCATCATTGGCATTCACTCTCCAGGACCCGACATCGCCAGCAAAACAAAGGCAATCTCCAGGGAGCATGTTCGCATCCAGTTCAATCAGAAAGAAAGTGTTTTTGAAGCAATACCGCTACACAAGAACGGCTTCTTCGTCGGAGACGTCCTGCACAAAGAAGGCACAGTCGTCCTCCGAAGTGGCGATACTCTTCAGATCAAAGACGTCGACTTTCGCTTCCTTATCAACGGCGTTCCTGAGGGCAAGACCGGCGCGGAAGAAGAGGTTGAAGAGGAACGCATGAAGAAGAAGCGATACTCTGAAGGCGGCAAAGAGATGAGCTTTGAGTTTGAGGCATCACATGGAAACGGCCAGCTGCAAGACACAAGTGACTCGTCATCCGTCCTCAGCCCTCCCGCACCATCCGATGACGAGGATTCCGAGGCCGAGGCGGGCGATGCAAGACCGCCCAAATCCGCGGTCGACACGACAGCTGAGGTCGATTTGGAGGCGATGGATGCCGATGCAGACGCAGATGCAGATGCCGATATGGACGCCCCTGCTGAGCCGGAACATGTACAAGTGAAGGGCGAGCTCGGGATGGACCCTCAGCCGGAGATGTTGCTCCCACCGATACCAAAGAAGCGCGGCCCTGGCCGTCCGCCAAAGAATGGCATCATGTCTAAGAGAGAACAGCGACTTCTCAAGAAGCAAGCACAGGAGATGGCAAGAAAGACACTGCCACAGCCTCCACCTGGCGAGCCACCGATCAAGCGAAAGGTCGGGAGACCTAGGAAGCATCCTTTGCCTGAAGATGGCGGCGACCGTCCTGAGAAGCGCAAGTACAAGCCAAGGAAACCCAAAGAAGAAGGAGGGGAAGGGTCCGATGCAGAGAGACGTGCCAAGGAGAAGAAGGACAAGAAAGTGCGGCCCAAGTCACCCCCCCTTGAGCTCAAGATTGAGGATTACACAGAGGAACAGCTGCAGAAGCCCAACAAGAATTACGGCGTTCTCATCGACGAGACGTTGACAGCTGCCCACGCCGAGGGCCGTGCCGAGGGTCTTACGCTGAAGCAGATCTATAAGCGCATTACGCTCAAATATCCCTGGTTCTACTTCCATACCGAAACCAAGGGCTGGGAGTCCAGCGTGCGACACAACCTAATTGGGAACGAGGCTTTCAAGAAAGACGATACGACAGGCCTCTGGTCAAGAGTTCCAGGGGTCGAGCTTGATGCCGGCAAGAAGCGTAAGGCTACCTCGCCCGACCGCACCCTCGCGCCCGGCTACGGGCCGTACGCGCACCCAATGTACCCACCATATACAGCGGCAGCTCCTCATATGGCGCCGGCAGCGCCTGGAGCACCAACATATCAGCATCAACCCCAAGCCTATCACCCTCAAACTTACAATGCCCAACAACCACAACCCGCCAGGCCTCCCCAGTATTCCCCACCAGGATCTGTGCCGGTAGCCAGCCAAGCACCCCAGCCCGTTGCAGCACAGCCAGTCGCGCCAGCACAACTCCCTGGCTACGGCCCTGCTCCCGCCGGGGTTGCCCAAACCTCAACGTACAGCTCGCCGTACGCATCAAGACCTCCGCCGGCCAACCCAGCAGTCAAGACCGAAGACGGCACCGCTCAGGTGCATGGCCCCCCGGCAGCACAGCCGCCAGCGCTGGCCCTTCCCGGAGTCCCGATTCAGCCACAACCTGCTACCAACCCGCAAGCCGCGTCTTCAGCGCAGCGAGTAACTCAGACACCACCGCTACAAAGCCAGCAGCGGCACGTCATCGAGCCTAGGCTCTTCCGCTCCGTCTTAGGCCTCAAGAATGGCTTGGTCGAGAACATGAAAAAGGCAAAGAGCCCAAAGGGCGAGGCTATTGTCATGTCGGCACTCAACCGTTGCCTGGGTCTGAAAGCAGCAGCAACGGAAAACCCCGCGCTGGAAGACATTTGTATGCGAGGCATACAGAAGGTCTTAGACGGCTACTCTGGTCAGAGCAAGAGTCCCACGCCTGGGGAACCCGCTACGGCCAAGGCAAACGGACCAGGTTCGGTGTTTGACCCCAAGGTCTTTGCCGCCCTCGTGGGCTTCAAGAATGTCTCAACCAATGCGCTCAAGGCAACCGTGGGCGAGAGTGTCGCTGAAGCCGTCGCGCTGTCGGCAATTGACCGGGTCCTTGGCCTAGCGGAAGCCAGTATTGTGCCACCCAAGGCACCTCCCCGTGATGGCAGCCCGCCAGAGGCTAGCAAGCAGTCTAGCTATGAGGTGATCGAGACTCGTTTGATGGCGAACGTGCGGCAGATGCTGCTTGGTCTGAACCAGAAGTTACATGGAGCATGACACATGCCTGAAGAGGAGCATAGGAACGGCGCTTCGGAGTGCAGCCTAGCACTTATTTGCTCGAGCTCACATATGGGCTTCATGGGCGTGACTATGATTATGACATCAACATCTTAGGGCAGGAGTTTAATGCACGCCTCGTCGGGTTAGACGGAGAACAACAGGTAGCGTGTGAATGATATTTACCAGACTCACGCTTCACTAAGATCGTTCAGGGTGACTGGTGACCGATGTATTCGTTTAACAGCGATGTTCATCACGCGAAGGCGTCCGTTGGACAGGTCAAATCAATCGCAGCGATTTGGTTTCGTAGCATTTCTAACTTTCTCAAGAGCTAGCGCAACATCCAAACTCCGGCAATAGGAGTCAAAGCCTGAAGAAGAGAAGCTCATGCTGCTTAGCCTCCACGCCAGGGCCTACGATCAACTCCAGTCATATGCCGTCGGCGGGTTGGGTGGCTCAGTCAGGGCCCGGCGGAACCTCCGCCCCCCCTCACGAGGCACGACAGGCGCTCGGCGGGTTGGACAGGGCGGGACTCCTTCTAAGCGCCTCCTAGGCTCGGACCCCGGACCTCTCCCTGGCGGCGGTTCAGTGCCCCTGAACCGGTCGCGCCAACTCTCGCTATTCATCCTCGTCGTGTCAACTGCTGTCTTTGGGCCTCCACGAGAGACGCCGAGTGTTTCTGTAGCCTCTTTTCTGTCGTCAACTGGGCAAAACGAGCGGGACTGATGTGGGAAGGCAATCTGATGATGATCATGGGGCAGAAGCCGCCTCATCGAATCGTGATAGGCGCTGGAGATGCGGTCACCTGCCGCTTTATTTTTGGCTCGGGCCGCGTCGCGCTCTGCCTTGACTTTAGGGGTTTCTGCATGCTCGGAGGGCACGGCGAGCGCTTTGGCGAAGACTTCATCGTACAGGATTTGCTGCTCCTTTATGAGGGGCGGGAGGTGGAAGCCAATGGGAGCGTCGTTGTCGAAGAAGGCATCGAGGAACCGGAGCTTCTCCTGAATCGTCATCGCGTCCCAGCTGGTACGGCACGATGACCTTCCAGCGATCGGGAGATGGTTTGATGCCTTGTTGACACGAGGGTGTGGGGTCTCTTCGGCAGGCTGTGGCGCCTTGGTTGAGGAAGATTCACTTGAGCGGCTGGCGGAGCCTGTGTTATTTCGAGGGAACTTCCAGTCCGCCTTCCCATTGCCTAGATTCGGATGGAAACCCTGAGAAGGTCCGCCCAGGCGGTCATCATTATCCAGGAATGCTCTGTGCGTGGTCTGTATGGCAGAGCTTGCTATAGGACCAGCATGACCGAAGTCAGGACTCGACGCCATGGCATTGGTGTTACTGGTGATAGGTTTGCGCAGGCAAAGCGGCCTGATTGCGATTTCTCCAGCCTGGACCTGCTGGTCGCCCTGCAAAGGCAACTCGGGCTGGTGTTGTCTTGAGGGTAAACGTAAAGGGGCGGGTATTGGACTGCTATAGGCGGCCCCAGAGCGGAACCCATACATGTTGTCGAACCTGAACTCGTCGGAGTCGGAGTCATCTTGGGGAGCACGGGCAAGAGACCCTGCAACCCTGCGGTCCCGCCAAACCATGGTGTCATCTGTGATAGGGGGGAACAAAGTGTGCGAGCCTCGGTTTGTGTGGTCGCTATGGGCAGCTGCGAGAGCCCTGTTACTAATGATGGCCTCACAGATGAGCTTCTTCTCTCCGGACCTAATCGCACGCTTCTCGGCGTTTCTGTTAACTTCCTCGTCGGGCATGTCGAGGTGGCCACGAACCCCTTTCTAAAAAGCGTCGACCGCCTCTCCACCGCGAATCAAAGAGCTGGGTTGACTGTGCTCGGCGCCCGTGCAGGTGGCATCTGTGTTTGTGCTGTGAAAGGTAGTCGAATCTATCCCCGTGGTGATCTCTGTGCATGTAGCATCGTCTGATGGAAGAGAACTATCAGCATTCATAAGGGTATTGTGCTCACGGTGTACTCACATTCCATTTTGCCTATCTGCCATTCGGTATTCGCCTTGGCCTCGGCAGCACTATCTCCAGGGACTTTGGTCATGAGAAGATGCCTCTGGTAGAAAGGAACTCGATGCGGAAACTCACCATTGCTGAATGAAGGAACATCCCTCCCGCCAGATTCATGCTTAATTCCGTAGACACGACTGTTTGGGTTCATACCGCAAGGATAATGTAAGTCGTCCGGCGAATGGTCCTCCGAGGGCGAGCCAAGCGCCTGGTTTGCAAAGAATTCTTGATACGTGAGCATCGTCAAGGAGTCCTCCTCCGTTCCAGGGACACATGTCGGAGGCGAGGGCACAGCCACAATAGTTGGGCCATTCTCATTATATCGAGAGGGAGCAAGGGCGGCTCCAACATTGGCAGGAAGAGACTTTGGACTAGGCTCCTGGCCACTGTATAACAATGTTGGAGTGAACTTTCGTAAGGGTCTCTCGGTCATCTCAGTAGCAATTGGCTTCTTGTGTTCCAGCCAGGAGACGATATCCCTGACAGCTGGTTTCCCTGACGCATTTGACGGCTTGCGGCCTCCTTTATAAGAAGGCGAAGAGTCGGTGTTGGATGTCTTCGAGGACGCTTCTTTGCGCGAAGCCATGACAGCTGACGTCGAAATAGGGGTGGCGCCTGAGGCAGGAGTCGAGGTTTGTTTGCGGCTGAAGCCGGAAGTGAAACTTGTCGTTACGCCGGTGATAGGTCGTTTCCTATCCAGGATGCCTTCATCCGGGTGATCGGGGGAGGCTTGGCCGCCTTCACCTTGATTGCCGGGGCTCCATGGCATTGAGCTTTCGGCACGCTGATCCATGACGCGACGACCGTTGATGCCAGGCACGGTCTTTACACTACCGGTCTGTACACAAGCCTAGGCAGGAAGAGTGCTCTAGACGCGGATTTTTTTCGGTAGTCAGTATTTGTGGATGAAAGTGACAGGCGTCACTGGGTGGGAGACGTCGATATTTGATCTTTCTGTGTCAAGTGGCGCTGTTGTTTGTGCAAGTGATGGCCAAGAGTGGTGTTGGCAGAGTAGAGCTTCCAAGAAAGCAGATTGGGAAGAATTGGCAGATTTAGGTGTCCCGCGAAGCCGTGAATGGATGACAGTACACATTGCAACCGTCTTTTTTGGCGTCCCTACCCGTGCCGTTCAACAACAGCCGTTGCCTTGGGCATCTGGGTAGGCGTCGTCAAGGCAGACAGCCCTTGATGTATTCACCTAAACTTGCAGATGAGGAATGCAAGTCCTCAGCCCTCCAGAAGAACAACACTGAACACAATGTTGATGGACATTGCCTTCGTGTCTAAGCTTGCGCAAGTGCTTGAAGGGGCCCATGGTATCGCCTATCAACAGAGACAAAGACTAATAATAAATGATTGTGTGGTTTCCTCGCAAGCTCATGAGCACGAGGATACAATCGCACTCACAACTTCAACTGCAACCCGACACAAGACATGAGGAGCATATAAATGGATCACTCGCGGTGTTGACAGCATCATGATCAGGGACGTGTTGGAGTTGCATACGCACAGGCCAAGTCGGTCGACCCCAGCCCCATAATTCGTGCCTCGCAGGCGCCAATGGCCACACGGCAGAGACCACCTCCTGAGGTGCTTGGAGGACCCTCTGACTTTGGCGTGGCCTTTGCCTGAAGCTTGAGTAGGGGGCATTGACCGTACAGCTGTCTTCAACTCAACATCGAACCTGCCGACAACCCCAAAGCCTCCCACTCCGCAACCTCTACCGAAATAGTCAAGATGGATCCCTACTCGGCCGAAGGCGAGCTGATCAACATCCACAACCACTTCCACCAGGGCCAATACCAGGAGGTCATCGATTATGACACTTCTTCGCTCTCCTCCGAGAACGCCCTCCCCGCCCGCGTCCTAGTCCTCCGGTCCCGCATCGCTCTCGGCCAGTCTGCAGAGGTCCTGGCTGAGCTCAAGGGCGAGAAGAAGCCCGAGCTGGCGGCCCTCGGTGCCTACGCCCAATTCGAGACGGGCAAGACGGAGGAGGCGGTTGCGACGATCCAGAAGCTCGCCGAGACAGAGGGAGAGAACGCGACTGTGCAGATTATCGGAGGCACCGTCCTGCAAGCGGCTGGTCTGCCAGAGGAGGCCCTGACGCTGCTGTCGCAACACCAAGGAAGCCGTATGTTGGGATTGGAGCTCTAGCGGGCAGCGCGTTCCAGGCCGGATGCTAACCCCGCCACAGTCGATGCCGTCGCCCTCATTGTACAGATCCATCTGCAACAGAACCGAAACGATCTCGCCCTGAAGGAGGTCGCTGCGGCCAGGAGGTGGGCTCAGGACAGCTTGCTTGTCAACCTGGCCGAGTCTTGGGTCGGCCTGCGCCAGGTACGATACGACGAGAAACACACAGCCACGGTAAAGAAAGAGCAGTGATGCTGACAAGGAACAGGGCGGCGAGAAGTATCAGCAGGCGTTCTACGTTTTCGAGGAGCTCGCTCAAGCACCAGCAACATCGTCCACCATCTCGCTCGTGTCGCAAGCTGTGGCTGAGTTGCACCTTGGACGCACCGAGGAGGCGCAGGCGGCGCTTGACCAGGCCCTGGAGAAGGACGGCAGCAATGCCGAGGCCATCGCTAACCTGCTGGTTCTCACTGTCATCGCAGGCCAGGACCCGACGGAGCTCACAACGTAAGAAAACCCATTCCGTGCCATCCCCTCACGAGATCTACTTCGGAAGTTATTCTGACAGACCACTAGCAAGCTCCAAGCGGCAGACGCAAAACATCCTTTCCTCGCGGACCTCGAGGAGAAGAGTGCCCTGTTCGACAAGGCGGCTACCAAGTACAGCGCCAAGGTGTCAGCATAGGCGCACAGTCGCCCCGCGACAGGTACGGCGGACGGTGGTATTCATAGTTGGGCGTATGGGCATGCAGAGGAGATGGGACCTCGATGATACGAGGCGAAAAAACCATACATGGGTTGTTACCAAGGGCTCGGAAAAGCGCAAGACGAGACCACGATGCAAA